TCGATTATGCAAGAAATGAAAACAATTTAAGCTTTTTTTTATTATAGGAAAATAAAACTTATTATTTACTTTGGGTTTGTACTCGTAGATATTAAAATCTAGGATGAGTGAATTGTGTGAGTTCAATAAGGGTCTATTTTCTAATGTTTGAGTATGTGGGTGTGGGTATAGTAGTATCGGAATAAACAAATTCGTATTCACATTTATCCAATTTTCATCTAGAACTGTATAAAATTGCACATAGAGTTGAAGCATAAATTGTTGACTGACATCGAATCAAATAAAAATATATTTGTCAGATGATAATTAAACTGAATTTTAATTATACATGTTCGATTCGAGTACGATATTACTATTATACGTCAATTATTTTACATATAATAGTTTATTATGCATTTCGTAATGATTGGCTCGACTATTTGAGTCATTGAAAGTTAGTAAAAACGACATGACTCACATAGAAAATGCGTATATAGTAGCTGCTTTTTGTTGAATCATTAATGAGATACGAAACTGCAAGAAAACTACATTTTTTTAACATATCAATGAAGAAGAAAAAAAAATCATCAGTTCCTAACTAACTAATGTTAAGGAACAACAATCTCTATTCGTTTATTTGCTCACTTAGACAATGAGAAGAGATAAAGTCAACGCTCTCACGTAATATTGTTATTTAAAACATACAGTTAAGATAATTTATTATCTTTAAAACACATAACAACGGATAAGGTGAAAACGTTTTGTTCATTTTCATGTTAAGACAAATTATTTCAAGTTGTATGACAAAATATATTCGTTCTATGATTCAAAATAATCAGAGTTGTTTTTTGCATTTCATAGTGATGCAGTGAATGAAAGAGGAAAAAGCAAACTTTCAAATTGATACGTTTCTTTGTTGTTTTTCTGTCCTTCATCGTCTTCAAACATCATTTTCTTGATATTTAAATTGCAGAACACAACATGAGTATTGCTATAGAAAATGTGACGTTCTGTTTCAATCCTCCAATACAGTGACACATTCATCATCAATGTAATAAGCAAGAACAACTAATCACATATTTTTCAGCGATTATTCATAAAATAAAATTTTCTTTTCACTCGTGTACGGATTTACTAATCTACAATCATTTTTGTGTATTGTTATATAGAATGAATCAACTAACTGTCAGCAATTTGAAATATTAACGGTTTACTAAAATATTAACATACGACAGTTAAGTGAAAAAATAATTCTCTCTTCTATTTAGATTTCAAGTTACAAATATATATGGAATTATCGACGATCGAAGTTCGTTTTAAACAAACCGGCGAACATTTTCATGTGCCTGTGTCAAATATAACTACCGTGAAGGACATAATTAAATATGTTTGTGAAAACAGTGTTATTAGTGCGAAAATCGACTACAATAATTACTTTCTTGCTTTGCTGAATATTGAACATGAGCTAAGAGATGATAGCATATTCGAAGAAATCAGACCACGTCGAATAGAAAATCCTGATTATCAAGTGCGCATGAAAACCCCAAAGCGTGGGGATATGGCAACGCTTCTACGAGAATATTTACAAGCAGGTCGACCCCGACATTTTATTCAATCAGAACCACTATCGAATTCAACAGATTTTGGCACAGAAATAGAAGCTAATGTAAGTGTAAGTACCAAGATGTGCTCCGAAAGGTATTTTTCTATATGTTTTTACTATTGCTACTTGTTTAAACTCCATCAGTCATGCATTTAAAAAGTAAAGTAAAATATTTTTTTTATTTTTTTCTCAAGTCGGTTTCGTGTACTGGCAAAAATGTCGTCGGAAAGCATCTAGTTACGTCCACGAGCATACGTCAAATTGACTCACAAACTATATCAACTCCGATATCATCTGAGAATACTTCCGCTCTCTTTCAATCCGATAGTGTCGCTGAAACGCCTAGACCCAGTAAATTACCCGACACTCAATCGAAACAGTTTAGTGATACTTCATCCAAGCAAGATGATGAAACAAGATCAACAAACAGTGTCGATGAAACAGTAAATCCATGTACGTTATCGAGTACCGAATCGGAAAATTTCCCCAACACTTCATCAAAGAAAGATGAGAAAATCGAGCCCGTTTTGTCATCGTCCGAAAACAGCTCCTCGCTGTTTGAATCTGATAGTGTCAATAAGTCGCCAGAAAACAGCGCATTACCCAATACTCAATCGGAAAAATTCTGTGGTACTTCATCAGAGAAAGAGGATGAAACAATCGTTTCTGTTTCGACTAAATCAGAAATAGACATAAAAAGTCCAAGTGTAGCAGCCTCACTTCATGTACCATCGGCACAACAGAAACTGATGATCTCAAAAATGGAATCTACACCGGACGATCACGAATCATCTTCGTCTCGTTCTGAGAAATTAGCGAGTACTTATTATCAGTTCACAAGCAAATTGAATAAAATTGGTGCAAATGTAACCCGGGATCCAGTCATGCGTCGTAGTATTACTGAAACGTTCAATGAAATCAATATTCTTTTATGTGGAGCCCCACGAGTTGGAAAGAGTACATTAATCAATGCCATATGTGAAAAGCAATTAGCTAGAACAAGTGCTGGACTTGATGCCTGTACGACTCGTATCTCTCCTTACTTTCTCAAAGGTACCATTGAAGTCGATTCGGGAATAATAAACTATCGATATAATTTCTGGGACACTCCTGGTATTGAAAAATGGACGTCAGAACAGATACGTAAACTATTAGAAGAAATAAAAAACAAGCCGAAATCTGATATTCTTTGTATGATCTATTGCGCATCGCCAGGTTCTTTCGCAAGTCTTGCACACCTAGAACGATTATTAAAAGAGTGTATAGATCAACAAATATTTTGTGCTCTCGTATGTACAAATAAATGGGGTGGTAGTACCACTCAATTTGAAGCTGTTATGAATGATTTTGAACGATTACTCGAGAAATACCATTGTAAAACGCGAGAAGAACATGGTATCGTATTTTTTGGTAACATGGGATTATATACGGCAGTCAACAGTGAACAATTTGTAATTAAAAGCATGAATATGGTATTTGAGCCATCGGGTATTGACGAACTCATTCTAGGTATTATGGAATCACTTGACGATGAAAAACTTGCACAGTGGTGTATGTTAGCATTTGAAAATAAGAGATTTTGGAAAAACTTCTCTAATTTTCCATCACAATTGAAAAGCACGTGGACCAAATTACTCGGCAAAAAATAAACTGTAGAAAGATGAAAAAATGCAATTAATAGTGTTTTGAAAGTGTGTGACATACTCTTTATTATGTACCTGATTCTGTTTGCCAATTTTGCTATAGATCGAAATGAAACTGTTCAATCGATTCTATTGAAAATAATGCATATTTATATTTAATTGAAATACTGCTCAACACAGTAGCTCACTATTATTTAACCACTAATAACAATCTTGATAGTGAATGAGGGTCTATAGATTAGCGTTCACTATTTAGACGATATTTAGCTGCATCCTCATTCGAACTACAGAGGAGTTGAATGAAGCAAAGTGTACTTACCATAAAAAGGAGCATTCGAATTTTCGGATTACAGTACAAAAATCTGGAGAAGCTTTGATTGGAAACAATCGATCGAGCATAAGCATGAGACTCGTATCTTGTCAGTTTGTTAATTTGAGAGTAGTAAACTAGAAATATAGTATCATGTACTAATTACTTTGAAGATAAGTTTTCTAAAAGCCCAAACCAACCGAAAAATATAAGTTATTGATAGCTCAAATTATGTTAGAATTTTTATTTTGCTTAGATGTATTTCTAGTCTTGCTGAATGACTGCTTCTCTGCTGCTGGTGTAAACCGTCCAAATTTCACTTCTTCCTGTTATTCCATATCGCCAATAATGTCTTCATATGTCAATGCTGAATAAGAATCACTTTTGTATTTTGTTTAAATATGAACGATCTCTTTAGTTTGACGTACAATACCGTTCTAGTCAGGTACTGTTGGATATTGGTATTGTTTATCGGTATAGAGCGCCTCTTTTCATACATTTACTACCACCCACACACCCCGCACCCTATTTAGAAGCACATAAATATCTCAAAAAGTGGACGAAATATTTGTAACAACATTGCCTCCAAATCACATAGGTATAACAACAATCTCACAATACCCAGAATAAGTCAAGGAGAAAGTGTAATTTTCCTTTATCTTTTCCCTATTGATATCGTGCATTTGACTTGAACGGTGCAAGTTTAAGTCGGTTTATAGGATGTGTGTGTGGAAGTTGAGAGGTTGAGCACGGGTGTGAGTCCTCAACTTGAGTAATAAACAATCAATAGCATATTCCTTTGATAAAGAGCTACACCGATACGCTTCGGATTTCAATTCGAAGTTTCCATATATATTTGTGCCTTATTTACTTTCTTGTTACATCAATGTTGGAAAACAATAGATTATTTACAGCTTGATTTTTTCATCGAAAAGATCGATTAAACAATGCAAAACTACGACTTTGCTTCTCAAAGGGTGGGTGTGGGTGTGGGTTATGGTGAGGTGTGGATAGTGTGCGTGTTTACAGATGAACAAATTATCCACAAATACACTCGCACTCACACCCACGCCCACACCTTGGGTAACCATCACAGACCGTGACAGAGAAACTGTAGTTGTCAAGCATCAGATATACGGTCAGCTACAGATGTATCGTTTGGAAATGGAACAAAAGGATTTCCATTTAATTAGTAACAATAGATCCATCGTGTTTCACATTTTTAATCCCGCTAGGGATTGCGCTAACAGCTTTTATTATCAATATGTTGGACATTAATATCAATGGCATGGTTTATCATATGTAATCATTTTACAACAAAATCTGAAATGCCAAAGCCACTTTATACTTTTTGTGGACTAATACAAAGAGCACTTTGTTATTGTTTTCCACGAACAAAAGAAGATGATAAGAAATATAACAAAAAAGATGTTATTTTTGATAATGGCTATATTAAAAAGTCTTATAATAAAGAAAGTTTAAACGAAACAAATATTGGAACGATAACATTTATTGGTCGTCGTGAATTATCTTCTTCAAGTCTTAGAAAACAAGCAAATATTAAAAATGCTGAGAAGAAACAAGATGATTTTATTGCAATTATGGAATCTAATACAGCTGATACAACTGAAAATAGTTTTAGGCAAACACCAGCAGCTGTGGACACAAAACAAACAGACAAGTCAATGAAACCAAAATGTGACTTTTGCAACAGATGCAAATCATATCAAGCTGAATTCGATAAAGATAAAGCGAAAGGCAAAAATAAGAAAGACATAGAAGCTAGATGCAGTGCTTTAAATTATTTCGTTTTCCTTCTTATTTTATTCTTTATGTTTGTTTCTAATATGGCTTTATGGCTTTCAATGTCACAATGAATGAGTTTAAATCATCTTTTTTGACTATTATGTTTTTCCTAATTATTATTAAAAAAATCGCGTACTTTTCTTAATAAAACACAATCTGATTGCTTAACAGTCAAACATATTATTCACAATGGGTTATTGTAATTCTTGAAATTATTAAAAAATAATATCCTAGCGAAGTCTGTTCATCTTATTAGAATGAAATTCATATATGAATATTTATTCAACCATCTAATTTCTATGATGAAAAACACAGACAAATCCTGCGCATTTCTTTTGACAACAGTTTACTAAGGTTTCAACCATGTACTATGAATTTTTTGATTTTAACATAGATGAAGTAGTTTTGTAAAAAGAAAACGAAACAATAAGTTATTTGGAACGCTTATTTTAGTTCAATATTTCGTGCATTGAGTTTCACTGGAGAAAAGGTGTTTTCTCGAAATGTATACGAAAATATTATTAGATGTTAGTTTTTAGTCTTTTTCTTTCTGAAGAGTACTTAAAGGGTGGGTGTGTATAAGTTATCACGATAGCCTAATTTAGATTATTTCGGATGTTTCTAAACTCAAATCTTATCAAGTGGCCTCAGTATTAGTATAAGAGATCTTGAGGGTTTAGATGTTGGTGTGGGTAAATCGAATCGAAAACAGACCGATATGTATCTTTCTGATACAAATCAATCTGCTAGTCTCAACTTTTGCTTTTCAGCAACCGATCAAATCGTTATTAATTTTATAAATAAAGTGCTCGTGCTTGTTGAAATAATAAAAAAAATAATGCAGAGTTTATTTTCACCGACGCATTTCGTTATATATTAAAATTCAGAAACACTCATCAGGGCTTTGCATTCATAACAAGGGAGGAAAAGCGAGACTCGTGGAGTGCGTACTTCAGCTGTACTCCAGCTGTACTTCAACTGTACTCCAGCTGTACTCCACTCTACTCCAGGTGTACTCCAATTTTTTTTTGGAGTAGAGTGAGTCTCGCTTTTTCCCCCTTGATTCATAGTTAAAAATATCAACTATTACATGAATATTAAATAAATGGTGTATTCAAAAGAACTAAATAAATTCTGCAACAACAAAAATGGAAATTAAATTTTATAAAAAACAATGTACAGAATGTTATCCAAGATTTTCAGTCATGATGCAATTTTATAGTATAAATAACAATACTTGATATATTTTATAAACACTTCCAATCATTGTTTTCAACTTCAGAATATTTTAATCATCGTTCGCTGCTTAAGTTACATGGAATATCATTCGAGTTCGAGTTGCAGAATATTATCTGCCATCTAGTTTTCATTCACAACTAATAAGAGTAAACACTATTTACAATCTGAATCATGACATCTTGCTTTTCTTAGAAAGCACATTTTATCGAATTTTAAGTAAATAATACATAACAAAGTAATGAAAAACAAATGTGCAAGGAAATTTAAATTTTTCAAATCTAAAGGAATTCAACATTTAATAATTCATATGAATATACAATTCGAAAGGATGATTTTATAGATTATATTACAACAAAATAGTGTACACTAGCTTAAGACTTTTTGAGATCAAAATATTCTTTAAGAAAAACATAATTACAGTATGATTGCATTAATCGTGATTCAATAATATAGTGCACACTGCTTTTGAGAGTGCTTCAATATAAAAAAACTGAGATATTGTTTAAGAAAAATCCATTTAGAGCATAATTACATTTAGTTGTAATTCAACGATATAGTGTACACTGGTTTAGGGCTTGCCTGAATATAATAAAATTGGGATAATGTTTAAGAAAAACAGAACTGTCGCATGTTATTTTGAAACTTATTTCACTATAGTAAAATTGCCATATAGATCTTTACAAAAACACAATTGCAACTATTTATCTCAAGTATCATCATAATAATATTATCGAAATATTTTAAAGCATTACATTATTTCTGTTGTATTCGTATTTTAAATAAATGAATAATTTAAATTCCAATATCACGTCTTATGCCTAAAAGGGTGTAGGTGTGGGTGTGCGTGTCGTGTGTGGGTGTGGGTATGGGTGTGGGTGCAGATCAAGAGATGCAGGACACCCACACACAGATCCACACCCAAACCCACCCACACCCACACCCACAGCCACAGCCACACCCATACCCACAACCACACACACCCACCCTTCATAAATAACTCTTCTTACCTAATTTTCCAAGCTAAGCACGAATCTGAACTCAATTCCTGTGATTTCTAAATATATTCTATAAGTCTGAGAGTAGAGTCAGTGGTCACCGGATAGGATCGCATACAGTATGGTCCATGCTAACTTAGGACGACTGTATTTTCTCCTTGCAATTTAGTGATAAAAAACACAGTGAATATACCTTTTCACTTTTTGAAATACACATAACAATTTTTACTTAACTTGTTGAAACAGTAACATAATTGTAATTTATCGTAAGAACAAGTAAATTGATTTCATATTTGTACGTGAATTGTCGCATAGGATGCATTGTTTTCCAGATGAAAAATAACTTATTATGTAGAATATATTATAAGTAAAAGAACATTCAAAAAAAAAATATTGCCAATAAATTGTTCTTCCAGAGCTATTTCTGCTTGAGCACATTGTTTCAATAATATCATGGCTTATCAAGACAAACGGAATGTTAGAATTGTAGCACTCAATGTTGCTAATGCAAAAGGTATTTATTATTATCCTTATTATATACCAAAAGTTTCAGTCTAAATGAAAGTGTTCTTCCTGAGTTATAAGGTTTCTAATGAAGTCGAATTTTCCTAGTTCCTTATAAAATACATGCATTTATTGTCTATTGAACATTTCAATTATGAAACACTCATTGTGACTGAATGTTTCCATGCAGTGTTATCAGTGTTTACACAGATGTTTTCAATAAAAATGAGCAGAAAAAAGACTTCATGACATCGATTAGAAAGATAAATATAACGATCGATTATGAATAAAATAAGATAGATTTTCTCATATATCGCAGTTTTCAACCTGATGCTAACTTGTTTTCATGGAGTGGCAAATCTTAAAATTGGCACTAATTTTGAAATCTGCATGTCAAAATTAGTTCAAATTTCAATTCTCGAAAAGTTTTAAAATGTCTATATATTGAAAAATTCATAGAAATTTGAACTAATATATTTAAAACTAGCTGTTTTTTTTTAACCCAATCATTTTAAACATGAGTAACAAATTAGAAATCTACAACCATTATCAGTCAAACATATAGTGTCTTTTCTGAACGTCCTGGAAAATTCAATTAAATGTATGTATAAGAGATAAGAGATATTGAAGATTCAAAGATATAGAAAAGGATGAAGCGGAGATACTAACACAAGACATCTCTCTGACTGAGGATGAGGGCGAAAACCCTGACTTCTCTCATATTTCCTATCTCTCTAATATTTCTATATTTTTAATATATCTAATATGTGTAACATCTCTATATCTCCAATGTCTCCTGTATTTTCTATATATGAACTTAAATAAGTTTTCAAGGAAATCCATTGAAATCATGTAATCTTTTTTGATGATGATTCTAAATTTTTCTCAAAAAATGCTTTTCTGATCATGATGGAGAATAATATCCAACAGTAAATTTTTGATTTCTGAGTGTCTCAGAAATGGATAGTATGCGTAAATTTCTTATTTCTAATCTTTGGTAATGTCTTAGAAATGTTTAATACAAGGGGGAAAAGACATACTTCTGTCCCTCTGAAGTATGCAGAAGTACGAAGAAATACAGAGAAGTACGCGTTTTTTCCTTTGAGTTTTACTCCGAAGCAGAATTTTTGTCATTTCGTAATTACAAAACATTTTTGCTGCTTTCCGGAAAGAAGTACAAAGAGGTCTCAAGAAGTGCAGAAGTATACTTCTTCCCCCTTGCCTTTGGTTTAATATCAGTAAATTTCTGATTTCTACAAAAAACAAAAAATAGAAATTAGCAATCAAAGATTTAGTAAAAACTGATAATAATTTTAGATTTGCCACAGCCTCTAGATAAAGCCTTTAAATTTTCACATGAAAACAATTTTTTCTATACTTTATAGTTTATCATCTCAAAGAGAATAGTCAAAAACCTAGTTTTGATTATAAAAGTTGGACATAAGTAATAATTGATTAACTTCTCAGGACTAAAGTTTTGAAACAGCGATATTCATGATCAAAACACTGTATTTAATAGTCCTTGTTACTTTTAAAAACAAAATTCTTTCATAACCCTAACGGTAAAAAGAGTTGTAAAGAGATCTAAAACCTCAGAATCATTTCAAATGACATGATTATGCCAGATATGTAACCCATATTGAACTTCTTATTCTGTTATATTTATTTCTTGTAAATTATTTTGAGTCGTAAGCCTGTCTTACCACTACTCATCTTTTATTAAGTCACGAAAAATAAGTAAAAAAAACAAAAAGAAATACATGTATCAACAATCATCATCCATGTCATGTACAATATGAAATTTATCATTAATAGATTCATTAGTATAATTGACATACAATCGTTTCACTTTTAACCAACGATTTACAATATTTTCATCAAGTTTTGGTATGTTACATCGAATAGATATGATCATATAGCCAGCTAATATGAGACTAATTTCTAATATCATAATTATTAAGATATCACTTGTAAAATTTATAGAAAAAATTATAATTGATGTGATACATATTATTACGAATGGAGCTATTGGAAGATCGTAAAGTACAAATGGTAATAACGTATCATATAATGCCGATAATATAGCAACACATTTTCAAAATTCTATAGAATAATCATAGTTTTCACATAATTTTATTTTTGGAAATTGTTCAAATATCGGACAGTGAATCATTACTTCAGGGCATGTCATATTGAAATATTCATATATTGAAGATTTATTTGAATGAAATGCGTCGAATTGACCATTGATCGTATGTTTTACTTCCCAACAACCAATATGAATACCAATAGTTAACATAGCCAAAAACAAAAGAAATGAGTTGAAATAAGCAAGAGCCAAATACGTACGTATTCTAAATGATTTGGTCATATTCGATTATTGATGTGAACTAGTCCAATCGTTAATGTATTTGCGAATGAAATGCTATAAGCTACAATGACTATTATATAGATAAAGAAAACCGTCGTTCAATTAATATTCAATGTAACCTCTAAAATATGAAAGAGGGCGTTGAATAATCGTCAATTTAATTCACATATGCTTATGTTTAACATCGTCCAAAAAAAAGTAAATACAGAAATATTTGTATTATTCTGATATCAATATCATATAATTCAATTGATATTATAAATAATAAAATATTATTGATCAAATAAATAAACAGCAATTGTTTCAATATTTTTTTTTCTCAAAATGTACTGTCAATTAATAGTTTTTAATGTATTATACATAAACAAAAGAAAAACCTATATTTATTGTCATTTTGTTTTTATTGACTAAATTGAAAATTGAAAAAAGATACTATCTTGTGATCGAAAACAATTTTTCTATCAAAAAATGATGTAATAATATCAATTTATTATCATGAATAATATTTTTTTTTAATTCGTATAGATAATATAAAACTTATGAAATTGAATTTCTTTATGTATGGAAAATGAAATTATAGAAAATTATTTCCATATATCCAAACTAATGACAATGATGGTCGCACATTGACGTTTACATTAGCATCAAAGTGCAAGTTAGGGAAATTTTCAAAAATTTTTAAGAAAAAAAAATAGTATATGCGTTTTGCTTCTACATATATAAAGTGTAAAAAAAGTTAAATACATGAATAAACTCTTAAACTTCTGACAAATTCATGAACAAGATAACTTGCAATTAGTAGCTCTATAATTAAAACATGCAATATAGAATACAGATATTCTATAAATAGTACTTTTGAAATTATACATCTTCCTTTACAATGACATATCTAATAATAAATTCGTTTGATAAAAAACTAATAATGTATTTTGAACATCGTTTTGCGAGCAGTTGTATTCGTTATACCTATCTCATCTATATTTTAATATTCGAACAATAGTATCAATTAATATAAATGATGTCAATTATTTGCTGTATATATTCAGAGAAACAATTAAAATAAACAAAAATCAAACTTTAATTATGTTTTGTACTATTTTGATTAAATATTCAGATCATGTCTCTAGAACATGTAAAAGTGAACTAAATGAAACATTGACTATGAAAAGAATTCATAATCAATATAATCTTTCTCATGTAAACAACTTATGTTTCGACAATATATATTCAATAAGAAAAACATAATCCAAAAAAAATTCTCGTTGGCGAAGTTATAATTGTCTTATTGAAATGATTTAACTTTTGAACATATTATTTTTTTTTCGGTTCACAAACTTACTATTCTATTTCAAATCTGTAGTGTTTTCTAGGAGATACGTAAGAAGTACTCAATTCAGTTCTACGATAGAGAAGCTTCCAGTGACTCTTTCTCTAGTGTCTTATTTCAAACATCACTTAATGTTATCCATACAGTTATCATAAGAAATAGCAGATTTTTATCTTTGTTCAGCAGAAACGAACATACAAAGTTGAAAAGAATATAAGATAGACAATAATAATATGTCTAGAAAAGCACAAGAAAAATCTTGAATTTACTATTGTTAAAGAACTCTCAACAGCGTTTAGTCTTTTGCAGAATCTGTGAAGTTGCATATCTCTTCGGATTCTAACTTCTAAAATGAGATTTTTTCCTATTATTGCTTCGATCAAACTTGATCATCAAACGAAAGCAGAATGTGGATTTGGATGGATGAATTGAATATCAACACGCACATCTACGAATGCTTCTAGGAAAAAAAAAACGTCCATCTTT